AGCAAGATATGAATAACCAATTTCGTTTAGCTAAGATTTGTAATCTGCTATGCCCTGAGCTGAACAGTAATTTTGTTCCATCTGTCTTAGTCCTCCCAACAACATTTTGAGGCAAGTATTTCTTTGTTTTCATTATGATTAGAACACTGAGGCATGGAGTGGTTAAGTAACTTGCACAAGATTATACCAATATTTGGCTGCCTAGATGTGATTTGAACCGACACCCTTCAACATATACAATCCTGCATTATGAATCACAAAGCTAGACTGTTGGAATTCCTGAGTGAAGATGGCAGGCTCAAGATAGGAACCCTGCTGGGTGGCTGAGAGCAGTATATATTAGGTAGAAACATGATTGTCTAAGGGAAGGTATGGGCCAGAACTAACCTATGGGTTTTTGAGTGATGGATGCCAACCAGGTTGTTGGTGAAGGAAACAATGGGGATAACGGCATGTGGTCCCTAGTTTCATTTTTTAAATTATTTTGTGATAAATTTATAATTTTTTAAAAAGACTTATTTATTTATGCATACAGAACTGGGGTACAGGCCAGAGGCTCAGGGGCAATGGGATTCACCAGAGACAGAGTGGGGAGCAGAACAGGCAGATCGTCGAAGTACATTGCTAAGGGGAGCAGCAGGTAGGTCAGGAGAGGTCTGCCACGCCATGTGGTCACCTCCGGGGCAAGGATTAAACTCATGCTGAAGTGGCTTTAACTTCTTAGTGCTGTGCTTTCACCTGCTGCGCCACCAGGGAGGGCCCACTTTAGCCTATTTTTAAGTTTTATATGAATAGAATATGGTATATGTTGTTTTTGTGTTTGGGTTTTTTACACATCATATTGTGAGATACATTTCTATTGCTGCATGTAACTGCAAATTGTTCATCTCACATTATAGTATAATGTGTATAATAGCCTATTGTGTGAACATCACTATTTACTGACTTCACTGCTAAGAAGCATTTGAATGGAGCTGGCATGAACTTTCTAGAACACATCTGAGTGCACAAATGTACTCATTCTGGGGAGTATATCTAGAATTGAAGTTGTTGATTAAAAGTTATATGGGGTGTTCGGCTTTATTAGTACTGCTGTGGCTTTGCTTGAGTGATGATAGAAGTGAAAGCATAGAGATGGCAGGAGTATGCTCAAGGTCACTTAGCTACTGAGCCAGTGAAAGGAACCTGGGTTTGTACTCTCCAGTACAGTCTGGCTTTGAAAGACAGGCAGACCCATAGATCTGATAGAGTCTCATAGCAACATACATTTAACTTATGAGATGTCCTTATTAGCCAACCCTTACATAAGATGAAACCGATGACCACACAGGAGAGGGGAATGATTGGTGGAGCCAAAATTGTCAGCACCATTATAGACTAGGAGGAGGTGAATCTGAATCTTATCAAAGGACAGTGTGCTGTATGTATGACTCCCTGACTAAAAGAGATTTTGGGGCCCTTCTTTAACTCTCTGGCACAGTGGGTTAAAAAGAACAGCACTAAGAAGCTAAAGCCACTTCTGCATGAGTTCGATCCCCGCCCCAGAGGTGATCCACATAGGGCAGCAGATCTCTCCTGACCCACCCACTGCTCCCCTCAGCAGTGTACTTTGTCAGCCTATTCTGCTCCCTGCTCTTCTCTGGTGATTCTCTCACTGCCCCTGCACACCTGGCCTGTACCCCAGTTTTGTATGATAAATAAATAAATCTTTAAAAAACAGAGAGAGATTTAGATTCATTGTTCTTATACACCAGGCCCGGTGAGAAGCACTTTCCCATATATTATTTCATTTAATTTTCCAAAACAAACAAAAAAAAGACAGACTAATTCATATCTATAAAGACTATCAAAGTTTAATCTCAGAAGAAAATATACAAACTCTGCAAGTAAACCAGAGCCATTCAAAGAACTGTCCTTTTCAGATGATCTATGGGAACAATCAATCCTGATATAGCAGTAGCTTTGTAAGACAAAATTTGAAAACATATTGGAAAAATAAAAAGATTAAAAAAGCTTCCTCTTTTTATTAGTAGATTAAACAAATAGAGAAATGGATTGCTAAATTGCTTGAAAAGTTTCCAAACACTCTCAGTGTCCACATTTATAGTATTGGGGCCATTTTAAAAACGATTTGCAGATCAGTACTTTAGACTACTCTTTGAGTAGCACTTATTTATCTAACCCATCCTCCTTGGTCTTTCAAGAGACTGGTAATAGAGGCACAAAGTCTTAATAACAAGACATCTGCATTCTATTAAGACCCTGGAACTCACACCTATAGGTTACTGTCTAGATTAACAGGAATTTACTAATTTCCTGTCATTATCAATATAACATCCATTCAAACAAAAAATCTTACATAGAAAGAAGTCGCAGCTAATTTTTGTTTTGTTTCAGTTTCAGGAACATGCCCACATATCCCACTGAAATGAACATAAAACTATGTTTTCAATAATATAACATGTTTTTCACTTTTCAATAAATAATATTAAAAAGATTACTCCCAAACTCAGCAAGCCTCTTCCTATTCTAAAATATTATATCACAGACCCCAATTTATCTTGCATCACCCCCATAGAAAGACCTGCTTTAAATCCAATTCTAAAACCCTTTTAAATATCTCCACATTGCCCTCCCCAGTATAAGATGCTACTAAGATTTTGTGAAGGCAGTTGTTCTTGTTGCCTGGTGAACTAGGCTTTGCTTATTTTGCTATTTCCTGGTAGCCAGAATTCAACGATCAAGTCTTTTCCTTTGCTTCTCCTGTATTCTTGCATAAGGCCTTTCAAATTTCAAATTTTTGTATGAATAAAAATTGCTGAAGAGAGTTGTACATGCAAAAGTATGCATGAGCAATTTAAGAGATCTCCATGTATAACTTTGACCACATTATATATAGAACCTATGTTTGTATATAGATATCAATAACTGATGAAGAATAGCATGTTGGAGCTAGAAGTGGTTTTAGGTGTATGATTTACATCAAAATCACCTGATATTGTCATTGAAAAAAATTTAAATAAATACCCATCAGATGTTCTAAACCAGAATTGCTAGAGATGGAAACTAGGAATGTCTGTAACAACCCCAAAGAGATTGTGATGCATAATCAGCAATAAGAACTATTATTCTACTGCACCACTTCATTTTGTAGAAAAGAAATACTCAGAAAAAGGAGTAAACTTGCCCAATATCACATAACTACTGAAGTGTGAACTGCAAACTGCATGTCTCATGATTCCCTGACAAGAGTTCCCAGGGTTAGAGATCAGACTTTGGAAGTGTCCTTGTATATCCAATATTCTGAACAAGAGTGCATGATGTAAGCAAAACACAATTCTATTTAGCTTCTCGCTAAGATTTATCAGGGTGGTCACTGTAATATTGCCTGCTCCTGGGTGAAAATTCTAGCTGGCATTATTACTTTTTTCTTTTCTATTAGGAAGGAGGCACCATACCTTTGTAAAGTATAATTCACTCAAAGGTAAAATTATGACTCTTAAGCAAAGATAAAATGAACAAATGCTCTGTTGAGAGTCTATTGACTATCTTGCTTGTTAAATTTTTCTCAGGAATTGTTGCTTGTCAGTTAGCTGATTAGCTCAAGTAAAGACAGATGGGTATTGAGAGGCTTTAGGAGCTGTGTCGTAGGACAGAAGCCCAGCTGGCTCCCTGGAACTCAAGTGGGCACTGGGAAGAGATTCAGGTCCAGGCAGCTACTGGGCGGGCTTTTCAGTACTCAGACCACATGGCTTCAGAGCTCTCTTCTTTGCTGCCTTCTTTTGTTTCTCTACTCATCAGTATGTCTGTAGCTCAAAATGGACACCCCAGCTCCCAGTCCACATGATCATCACTAAATTCTCAACTACTGGCAACAGTGACTCTAGTTTCCTTCAGCATTTTGGCTGAGACTCTTTGGCTGCTCTCCAGTGAAGCATTAGTACCCTCTGGGTCAGGTGATCATCCAGGGTCAGCCGGTAGTAGTTGGTGGAAACACAACTGACAAGGTGGAGTGGGGAGGAGGAGAGGGAAGACTCAAGAGAATTTCAAGTGGACACGCACATTAAAATTCCCTTTTAATCATTTCTAGTACCAGCCCTAGAAACATTTGTATCGCTCTGTTACTTTTATTTAGACCCGAGAACCTTTTTTGGGGGGGGGGGACGGGTATGGGTTAATGTGGGGTGGGGTTGGAGAGAGGGTATGGGGGATTTTTTTTTTATAATATAATAGTTTATTTTTACATCATTTTGTACATTTTTTTTTCACCTCAATTGTAATCCCCGTGGGTTTCCCATCAGAGTCACCCCTGTGCCATCACCATAGTCCCTTGCACTTCCCTCCTACCCCCTCCCCCCTTTTTGGTCCCATTCCCCACTCCACCCCCACAAAATGTCTCTGGTATATGACTGTTCATTATTCTTATTATTTTCTCTCCTGGTCCATTAGGTATGGGGGATTTTTAACAAGAACTCAGAGCTGTACCTTCCATATATGTTACCACTATTTGTAATCTTTGTATAAGCCATTGAGCTGTTAGATACAGGGGTATTCCTAATAAAAAGCCTCTGCACTGTGCCCTGAACTGGTTCAATTGCTTTCGTGGGAACACAGATGCATCTAATAATTGCACAGGTACAAATGTAGGTTAAGCGAACGCTTCTCGCTTAGCAGCCAGGCAGACGCCAAGAGACAGAATAGCAGGTGAGTGAGGTTCAGCAATGCGGGCTCCCCGTTAGTGCCAGGATCTGTCTGTGCAGTCAGAAGAAGGGAAGGCTTCTAGGTGGAGGTTCAGGGTCACAGACACACGTACACACGGAGGCCTCACGTCCTTGGAGAGGCAGATTTGGGGCACCCTCCCTTGCTCTGGGCGGCCCAGGGGCGCGGGGCGCAGGCCTGTCCCGGGCGCGGGCCGAAGCGCACAGCTCCTCGCAGAGGGCGGCGCGAGGGAGGGAGAGAGGGAAGGGAAAGGCGAGCGTGAGCTGCCTCAAATGCTTGGAATAATTCCGCTTCCGTTTGGAAAGCCGCAGCCTCAGTCCCGCCGCGTCCGCCCAGCTCCAGCTCCGCGTCCGACAGGCCCGCGGCTGTCCGCTCCCCGCTCCCCGCCATGGCCACCTCTCCGCAGAAGTCGCCCTCTGTCCCTAAGTCCCCCACTCCCAAGTCGCCCCCGTCCCGGAAGAAAGATGACTCCTTCTTGGGGAAACTCGGAGGGACGCTGGCCCGGAGGAAGAAAGCAAAGGAGGGTGAGTGTAGCGGGGCCGAGCGAGCGGCGGGGACCGGGG